AATACAGTTTTCTCCAGTGTTTGGTGATTGCATCTAATTTTAATTTTTGACAACAGTAACTGTATACAAAATTTATCAGCTGTTGTATATTAATCCCTTGACACCTGAAATACTTGATTTGGCTTTTACTGCTTAGCTGGTAGATTTTTTTTTTTAATGCTCACAGTTATACAGTGTGTAAAGGTACTAAAGCAATCTGCTAAGTAGTTTATTACTATACAAATCATTTATTGTATAACATATATAAAAAGGAAGTATAATGATGTTTCATTATCTTAATCCTTATAGTCTGAAAGGGATGAGTTATGTTAACTAGTGCCTGTTCAGAAAAACAAAAGGGTCCTGTCTTTCCTAATGCCTCATATTGGGAAGCATATGAGGTCAATTTGTCCCGTTACTGCTGATGTTAGTATCGATCACTTGGTTAAGGTGATGGGCTACCAGGTTTCTCTAGGGTACAATTATTCTTCCTCCTTTGTTGTTAATATGCATCTTGGTGGGGAGATACTTTGAGACTCTGTCAACAGCCTCTTTCTCATCTTACCTTCACCCACTAATGCTATTCTCTTTAACTGAACATCTTAATGCTCAGATCTCTTGTTCTGAAATTCTTTCTTTGGCTACAAGTATTATAAACCTGTGAGCAGGAGACCAAACAACTGACTTGTGGAAGTTTATAGTAGACCAGACATATGCATAAATGTATACAATGTTGTTACCAAGATGTGCAGGTGCTAGAGTGGTCACCCTTCCCCTCTGCCATCTCCACTGCAGCTCTCCTGTACTTCTGTTCTGTCACAGTTGTGCCTGGTGCCTGCCCTTAACTCCAGTCTCTATTTTTGCAGAGGTAGAAGGGCAGAAAGAAAGAGGAAAAATGTTTATTTTGATCACAGTGTGGGAAGAAATCTGTCTTCTCTTATTGCTAAGGTTGTGGTAGGGGAAGTGAATCTTTCCAATGATCTGAGTTAGAATTTTGGTTTATTTTTACCCATAAAAATATTTCACTATAACAAATCATTTGTCCTGTGTTTTCAAGTTTAAAAGGCTTTTGTTGCCTAGCTAAGAATTTAACTAAGGTTTACAAGATTGTTCCTAGAGGGCAGATGCGACCTTGGTTCCAAGTAAACTTCTTTAACAGTTCTCTTATTTATAAGCTTGAGGGTTGCTTGTATATATGAATAATGCATATTTTAAAAATATAGGTTATATACTTTTACCAGCTGTCATTTAGCAGAATAGTCTTCTAGCCTACAGTTATTTGTAATAATTTATCTCTGTGTATTTCTTAAATTTGAGGTACATCACATTAGGACCATCTAGTACAATGATCTTCAAACTTTAGCATATATTAGAATCACCTGGAAGTCATCTTAAAACACATTGTTGGGTCCCATCCTCAGAATTTCTGATGCAGTAGGTCTTGGGTGGAACCTACTGAAGAGAATTTGCATTTCTAACAAGTTATTTCAGCTTTAAAAGAGGGGGTAGCCCTAAAGAAGATTTCTGTATGAATGGACAGACACATTTTGCTATCTTTAATTTTAATTGCAGAGCATAGCTTTAATGTGGCTCACCTGACATATTTCAATGTTTTTTGACAGTAGAGTCCCTTGGTGCTTTTTTTTTTTGCATCCAGCTGATGTTAATGGATTAAGTTGTTTATGACATTGATAGCTAATATTGAGTTCTTATTCTGTGCCAGGCCCTATACCCTTTATGCTTTAGGTTAAGTAAATTATCCTAGGTCACTTAATTATTAACATGGGGCAGGGCTGAGATCTCAATCCAGGCAATCTGGATTCAGAGGCCAAGCTCAAAATCTCCACACTCTCCTGCCTATACAAATACACTGTGTCTGAAATTGAAGAAATGGTAGGTTATCTAAATTTTCTAGTTCTTGAAATTCCTTGCTATTTTAAATCAGATCTTTGTTAGTGGTATTTTGTTATTTTGTTTATCTCTGAAATTTCTGTGTTCATGTCAGTCTGTGTATCTCATCTCCAAACTTTGCTTTCTTTGACGGGGGTGTGTGTGTGTGGGGGTGCTATTCATGTTTCCATTGTAGCTACAGCATTTTGTTTCATCTTAATATGTATAGCTGTGTTCAGAACTTCTTTCTGATATAGTGAGAGTGAATCCTCTTACCTTTCCTGCCTTATTTATGACCAGTCCTCTCCCCCACCAAGCTACAGTCTGAGTACTGGGTTCTCCTTTCAGTGTTTTCTCTAGCCTATGATAGGAGAGCGGATGAGCTTGGTGAGGCGGAGTATAACCCTCGTTTAGAGTACCTCTGCTTTCTCTTCTGAGATCCTCTTACCTATCCTGTACTAGGCATGCCCAGCCCAAGTGAGTATCCAACTCCTTTGGGCTTTGACTCCCTCAGCCAGCTCAGCACAGTTCCTTTGAAAGATGGCGGGCTTTAGCAGCTGGTTCTTCCTTTGCTGGAGTCCTGCTGGGCTTGTATTCACAAGAGTTTTCCCTCAGTCTACTCACTTACCTTACATGTCTTATTGCCTGAAGGATTTTGTTGACTTACCTTCCTTGGTCTGTACTGCTTCTGGGATTGGGTTAAGGGCAGGAACCATACCACACTGTGTCTACTACCAGAATTTGTGTGTGTGTGTGTGTGTGTGTGTTCCCTTGAAGTTAATAGCATAGTTTCCCCTTTTCTTGCTTGGTTGGTGGTGAATACTTTTACCCAGTGAAAACTGGGTGCCTCAGTTGGTTAACTGTCTGACTCTTCTTGATCTCAGCTCAGGTCTTGATATCACAGTTTGTCAGTTTGAGCTCTGTGTCAGGCTTTTGCACTGACAGCGCAGAGCCTGCTTGGGATTCTATTTCTCCCTCTCTCTGCCCCTTCCCTGCTTGTATTCTCTTTCTCTCTCCCTCAAAATAAATAAATAAACTTAAAGAAAAAAAAAAAAAACAAACCAAGGCATACATTGTTCATTGCATTAGGGATTAGGGGAGAGAAATTCTGTGTTTATGCTTCACTCTGTCATCTTGATTCATTTGTCCTGCCAGGCTCTTTATACATTGTTTCTTACGTTGGCCTTTGGTAAAAGCCGAAGTGCTTTAAATTGATTCACAGATGAAGTTTAGAGAAACCTAGAGTCAGAGAGGGTCATAATATTCTTAAACTGGGCATTAGATGATATTAGGAATAGCTGGGTAATGATACTGTGGTACGTGGAAGAATGTCCTTTTTTTTTTTTTTTTTTTTAAATTTTTTTAACGTTTTTATTTATTTTTGGGACAGAGGGAGACAGAGCATGAACGGGGGAGGGGCAGAGAGAGAGGGAGACACAGAATCGGAAACAGGCTCCAGGCTCCAAGCCATCAGCCCAGAGCCTGACGCGGGGCTCGAACTCGCGGACCGCGAGATCGTGACCTGGCTGAAGTCGGACGCTTAACCGACTGCGCCACCCAGGCGCCCCAAGAATGTCCTTTTTAGGAGATGCATACTGAATTATTTTGAGATGCGATGTCATGTCTGCTATTTTTTTTTTGGTCAGTCAAAAAAAGGGGGGCAGTCTACAAAGTAGGCATATAGGTGTTTATTGGTAGTGTGCTATCCATTCAACTTTTATGTAAACTTGAAATTTTTTTTTTTCAACGTTTATTTATTTTTGGGACAGAGAGAGACAGAGCATGAATGGGGGAGGGGCAGAGAGAGAGGGAGACACAGAATCGGAAACAGGCTCCAGGCTCCGAGCCATCAGCCCAGAGCCTGACACGGGGCCCGAACTCCCGGACCGCGAGATCGTGACCTGGCTGAAGTCGGACGCTTAACCGACTGCGCCACCCAGGCGCCCCAAACTTGAAATTTTTAATAATAAAAATTTGGGTTTCTAGGAACAGAATCTACCTTAGACCATTGATTCCAAAACTCTAGGAACTAGTTACTTTAGAATTTTGTGTTGATGTTTTTTGTTTTGCTTCTCAAAATTGAAGATCTACCCTGGCAGTGTAGGTTAGAGCCCAAAATTAATATTTCTTTTGGATGAAGGTACAAGTACAGTGGAATTATACCATACTTGTACTTCATCATGCGAATGTGGCCAGACTTGTTCCATCAAAATACTCGGTGTGTATATCTAGGAGTAAGGGTGAATTGGAGAATTTTTGTTTTCTCTCTGTTTGGTTCAGTTGCTCAGGTCTCTTGCCACATTCAGTGGGAGTCTATTTTTTAAAGTAATGGGTTTTCATGTGACATGGCCCCTAAATACAAGCCAATTACTTCATTTCATGTTCACGTGATTTCATCTTCCCATCCCATGTTCATTTTATAGTGATTTCTTCTAATACTACAGAGGAAAAACAGTCTTGTCTTGGACTTGAATGAAAGATAATGTGTCTGTGTACATTACAGATAATTTAAGAGATTTTAAGGGTAATTGTAAGTATATGTAGTTTTCGTTGTACGTATTGACTTTAGAACCTAACTTGCCCACAAAGAATCTTTATTTAGGGCTGTCCCCCAAACAAATTAATTAAGGCATTACGCATTGACTGTTATGTTAACAGGTTTCATCAGAATGATCTGTTAGCTACTTGTTAGTTATGTGACCTTAAACTGGTCATTTTTTTAAAGCCAAAGATGAGTGGTAATAATTTGCCGTATCTATTCCTGGGGTTGCAGTGAGAATCAAATGAGATCTAAACACTAATTAGATACTAACGTTAATTAAGTATTCAAATTTAGAGTTAAAAAATGTTGTCATGAATTCCTTAGAACATAGTAAAGTTGTGACTTACTTTTATAAGTTGTCACTACACTAGCTTTTGATGATTTGTTTTAAAGTGGTAATATACTGGGGCGCCTGGGTGACTCAGTTGGCTAAGCATCTGAATCTTGATTTTGGCTCAGGTCGTGATCTCACAGTTCGTGGGATTGAGCCCCACGTCAGGTTCCATTGGGCTCTGGGCTGACAGCACGGAGCCTGCTTGGGATTCTCTCTCTCTTTCTCTCTGTGCCCCTCCCCTGTGTTCATGCATGCTCTCTTTCTCTCTCCCTTCCCCTCTCTCTCAAAATAAATAAGAAAATATAAAAAAATACATGTTTGTATTTTTGTATTTTGTTTTTTTTGTATAAAAAAATAAGTGTTAATATACCTTATTTCCATCTTTAAATGATAGGTACTACTTTAAAGTACCAACGTCATTTCCCACAAGAGCAGATTTGATTTTATATAGGAATGCCTTTGGCTTCTTTACATTGTGGTGGTAATCAGATGTCACCTCCCCCCCACCCCCATTGTGGAAATTTATAAATTAGTAACAAAAATTTTCATCAAATGAAATTTTTATTGCTGGGGTTTTGGGAGTGGAGTAGTCAAGGGTATATGGACTTGTCAGTTTCCAACTTTAAGTGGATACAAATATTGTAAGGATATTTTTAAGACAGGGGTGCCTGGCTGGCTCAGTTGGTAGAACATGCAACTGTTGATCTTGGGGTGATGAGTTCAAGCCCCACGTTGGGTGTAGAGATTACTTAAAAAATAAAATATTTAAACAAATATTTTTAAGACAGAACCTTGCATTATAATTCTTACTGTTGAAGAGACACTGCTATCGTTGGCACCGTCTGTTAAGCTCTTCTGTGTACTTTTGCTGTTATAAGCCTTATATAAAGCAAATGAACTCTGCATTTGGGAGACCAAATTGAATCTACAACATCCTTGCTATTTAATGAGGCTGAGCAAGGAAGAACTGTTAGGATGTTTATATTTGTCCTTATATTGTCACATGTACTAATTGGTTTGAACTAAGGTCACCTTCACTATTACTGGGTATCTTAATGCGACAGTTCTAATCAAGATGTAGAATCATACTTAAGGTAATAAATTACAAATAAGGTCTTAATTTTTGCCATTAGCTGTGCTTTTTACTTAAGAGAGACATATAAACATACAAGGCTAGGCAGATATTAAGTCTATTAATAGGCAAATGTAGACTATGTACAAACAGTATAATTTTAACAGTATATTTTATACAAGAAAGAAGATGGAATTTTTAGTGTGTATCAAATGCACATTGTAAGCAATTGAGTCAACAACCCCCGTGCCTCCTCTCAAAGACTGTTTTCTGAAATTGAACTTCAGTGTTCAGTTTCAGAAAAAAAATTCAAAGTGTATAAACATAAAAAACATTTGTGAAAAACTCATCTCTTAGAGGTTTGGCCATTCGTCTCTGCGGATGCTGTTTGATTCTGTCTGTAATCCTTTGGCTCTTACGCCAGGTCCTTAACATTTTGGTGTATACCAGCCCAATTTTCAACTGCTGACACCTGCAGGTCTTTTGTATGAGGGCTTTTCTGGCCCTGGGAGCCTGTGTAAGCAGTATAGAAATTGGTGTCCTAGAATTGCTGGGGAACTAACTCACCTCATTTCCTCTCCCTAGCTCTCAACCAGTGAAATGATAGGAATTGGTGTATAAGTATCATGCCTTGAGATGGGATAATCCTAAAATGTATTTCTACACAGACCCTCTAAGTCCCCAGTGGGATTAAGCTCCCATTACACCACAGGAATAATTTCCCACTGGGAGTTCCTAGGATTACTTCCCAAATAAACTATGGCAGCACTTTGAATAGAGTCTGCTTTTGGGGAAATAGAAACTAAAACATGGGGGCATATTCCTTTAAATAAATTCAATATGAAAACCTTAATTTTCCCTAAAGATAGATTTACAAGGCAATTTTTTGTTTTACAAAAGACTTCTGTTATGAACTCCATTTATAAAGAGAATTCATTTAAATAAATCACATACTCCTATTCATTAAGTGCACTGAAAATACCCATTTTTACACATAGCTTGTTAGAACTATGCTTGTGTAAAACAGCACAGTTTCATGTCATAATCAGCATTTTAGCCAAAGTAATTACTTTTGGGGGCAAATTTTATGGAACCAAGTATAGCTATTTAGCATTTTGTTTGCTATATTTTCATGTTTAAACCACTCCCACAAGTCCATTTACTGCAGTTTGAATGCTACGCATGTGGTAGGTAGGGCGACCATGTGCTTTATTGTTTAAACCAGGACACACGGGATAGAAAGGTTGTGCCGTTACTTATGCTGGGGTAAAAAGAACGAGCACATGTGGTCATTCTGTGTATAGGTGACCATATTATTAATTCTTTGGTACAGATTTGCAGTCTTAGTACAGATTTGGATTGATTAAAAATAAAGTGTGTTGGAAGATAGAAGTTTTTCCTTTAGTATCTCTGTTTTCAGAAATTATGTAGTATCAATATTACTGATTATTTCTAAGCATTTTATAACGATTTAAGAGTTTCTGATCAAAAAATAAAAACAAAGCTCTGAACCAAAACATTGAAAGGCAATTCAGTTCTCTCTTCTCCAGGCTCAGTAAACCCCTGTTCCTGTAACTTTTAACCTATAGGTTATATTTTCCTATTTCTAAGTTATTTTCGTGGGTCTTATTTGGATCCTTTCTAGCAAAATGATTTTCCCGATAGTTTTAAGACACAAATGTGAAGTTCTTCGCCTAGTGTATGGCACATAGTACTCAATAAATGGTAGTTAATAAGAATGAGAAAAATAAGGAAGGTGAAAATAGGGTCATAATTTACTTAGATGTAGCTTCAGGTTGAAATCTAGTCACAGTCTTCAGTATTTTACTTTTTTCCTCCTTAAATATAGTCTAAAGTAGCATTTCAAATATTCACAGGTTAGAGGTACTAAAAACAGGTCGTTAGTGATAAAAGTAATTTATCTAATTAAATCTACAGTGTTTTCCCAAGCTTTCTTTCTTTACTCTCCAGAAGCCCCCTCTTGGTGGACTTACATTCTTTTTGTGCCCAGTTTTGTTACGCAGTCCTGTCATCTGCTCCCTCTTCATAGGGCAAGAATGGAACCTGCTTGGGGCCATTTATAGCTGATAGTTTGTCTCGGCATAATTTTGAGTGCTTGATTTTATTCAGACTTAAAAATTCAGCTCCTAATAGTACATTGGCAAGCCTTATTTTTGATCTTCAAGAGATTGTCAAAGATAGGAACTGTCTTTGTCAGTTTCTCAAAGATTGGAACTCTGTTCATCTTTGAATTCCCGGTGTCTGGCACATAGTAAATGAATGAATGAAGTGGATGTCTTCTGTCCACCCCCCCTTTCTTCCTCCCATTTCTTCCTGGGCTGGCCATTCAATAAAACTCTAGTGTTGTACTGTGGGAATGGAGAGTTTTTATTTACACTGAATTAAACAGCAAATTAAACTAAAAGAAAAAGCATCAGGAGAGTCTAATGTGTGTTTACATTCTTACCAAACAAAAGGAAATTACTTTTACTTGCATGTACCTTTTGATTTTTTTTTTTTGTTCATCTTTGTTGTAGTTAGCCTTTGATAGAAATCTTTCTCAGTGCTCTTCTCGATAGTTACATTGTGCTTTCCATTTTTTTTTGTCTTTGTCAAATTTTCCTGGTTATGCAATCTGCAGAATTGACATAGACATTAGAAATTTAAATAGTAAGGGAATTAGGACAGTTTAGTAATACTGTAAGAAAATTTTTTATTTCTATGGAGGAAACTACCTGTAGCTTTATTAGAATCATAGTATAATAGAAAAGGAGTAGCTTTTATCCCCACCTAGTTCTTCCAGTTATGACATACCCTTATTTCTGCCTCCCACTATACACCTAATATGCCACCAGAATTACCCACCCCCAGTCCACCAACAAAACCTAAGCAGCTATTACTTTGTTTTCTGTCAGGCCACTCCTTCAAAACCTGATCCTTATTTGCTGACCAGGAAATATATTGACTTAACATTTGTTTCTGTGAAAGGGAACCATATCTTTTTAAACTGTTGATTAAAAAAAAGGATTGTGTATGTTTTCCCTTCAAGGTGACATGGCAGTCTCCTGGAATTAGTCTTAAGTGAAAATGTTGCACAGAAGTTAGGCTTCTCTGTAGTGATACCCATTAAATTACTCAAGTATGAAAACGTAGATGCACAAAACACCCGTTTCTGCCAAGAAAATAATAAGCTTGTTAGCTGCCTGTTAGCTTTTCCTCTTCCCTCACTTGGTATTGAGTTAAATCCTTCCCAGAAATCTAGATTGTCCTTGATTATCAGTGCTTCAGTTGTCCTTTTGGCCTTTGCATGGTCCTCCCAACTGTCCAGCTGCTTATACACACAAGTATTACTCACTATTTCGTTTTGAATGAATGGACAGCATCAGCATCAAACATGACACTTCAGAGGTCCACCTGCAAATCATTGATACAAAATGACCCAGGTTTTTTCATTCTGTCCAACTTAGGCAATGGTTTTGTCTTTGTTATTAATATTTTGGGCTTATTTCTCATTGAGAGTTTAAGTAATGGTGAATTGAAACATAGTTTAAATTGCTTTGGGTTAAATTTTTTGTTGTTGTTCATGTTTTAGTCTTAGATTTTACTAATTCTGTAGCGGAAAACCAGAACTTCTGGATGGAAAAATGCAAATGCATTATAAACTGAGTTGTGCTGAATACAATCTTACAATAAATACTTAGATCAGTTTTAGGATGCTTTGGTTTTTGATAATGAGGTTGAGAAAAGATTGGCTTATGAAATTGACATTTAAAATTCATGAATATTGCAAAATAATTTGGAAGTTAGAAATATAGGTGAAATTTTTAAATGTTAATTGGTAACGCTGGCTATATTTAAAATCTACATTTGTTTAAACAGTAAGGAAATAATTCACAATCATGTACAAGTTAATTTTTTCACATTAGAAGCTAAATTGTGACATCATAATCTTAACCTTTTTGCATTTTATTTATAGTTATTTTTAATTTTAGTTTCAGTCTGATGGAAGCAAACAAGAAGATAAAGAGAAAACGGTAAGAGACAAGAAAAATCCAATGTGTCTGATATTTGTCTATGTATAGCATACTGTAAATTTTACTGTGGTCAGACTTTAATCACCTATGTGAATATTTTGTACTCTACATGCTGGATAGAGCTTTTGGAATATCATACAGTTATCGTTTAAGATTGACAGTTCCTGTTTTGGAAGATTACCATGTTGAGAAGGGAAGAGGGATTAATGAGTCCCTCCTTCTCTTGCTGCCCCTTTCCTTACCTCACCTCATTGCTTTCTTAGATGGAGAAACACAAATATCCATTGTGAAAAGGACAGTGATAGTGTGGGGAATTAGGTGTGTTTTATGAGAGGAAGGAATGAAAGTTTTTCCAAGGCTGGCATAAACTTGTTTTTTCTTTTGGGGGGGATTAATATGGACCTTTTACTGAAATAATTTTTCCTCCCTTCTTCGTAGGAAGTTATCCTTAGCTGTTTACTTAGCATTACTGACCAGGTACTACTTCCATCTCTTTCTTTGATGGACTGCAATGCTTGTATGTCTGAGGAACTATGGGGAATGTTTAAAACATTTCCCTATCAGCATAGGTAAATACATAAATTTTTATATTTTTCACTACTATTCTAGTGCATTAGCCTCTGAGTGTTTAACTTTTCCTAATTCTTCATTTCATTGTTTTTTAAGGTATCGTCTGTATGGCCAGTGGAAGAATGAAACTTATAATAGTCACCCACTTTTAGTAAAAGTTAAGGCCCAAACAATAGACAGAGCCAAATATATCATGAAGTAAGTTTTAATTTATTTTTCTTCATATTAATCTAATGTATATCTGAGTCTAATTTACTTTCTTTTAACCAATTTATGTCTGAGTCTCAATTCTGAGGAAGCCCAGGAGTATGTGCTAATGGCATAGTTTATGATATACTGCAGATAGAATGACTGTCAGTTTTTGTGTTTTTTTTTTTAGCTCATTTTGACTACTAAGTTTTTATAGTTGTCATGTTTGTATAGCTGTAAAATCCAATAATCCTCTTTAATGATGAGTCTTTTTTTAAAGGACAGCCTACTATGGCTTTTGCCCAATTTGCATCAGACATTTAATGACTTGTACAAGGTGATCAAAGTTCTTGAAATTTCCTCTGCCAGAAGTTACTATAATGAAGATTTTTCTTTTTTGGAAGATCTAATGGAATTATGCAGAACTATCTCCTTGAGTCAACTTTTGAAAGTTTTTATTTTTTTCATTTGTGTGCTTTATTTTCATGTCATTAAAAACATAAGAGTGATGTTATTTTACCTTGGTAAACTGAAATTTAATCATCAACATCATATACTTCAGATTAGAGTTGGTTTGTATACTAAATACACTGCTATATTGCAAGTGTTTTCAGCAAGGCTATTGATTGTCGTTTCTTTTATGTTTGTGCAGCGGTATGGTTATTCTGATTTAAAATAGTTCACTCTCTAGTTTAACTAGATCCAACAGTATGCAATGATAGTGTTTGTGCCCAGTGATATCGTCCCTGGCTACAGTCTGCTGGGGAAACAAGTGTGTGCACAATCACAATCAGATCTAATAGTTGCTGTTATATAGTATGTATAATGTTCTTTGAGAAGATAGAGAAGAGAGTGAATTATTTCACCCTTGGGAAGTTGGGGAAGGCATGGAAGGAGATACTAGAATTGGTCCTTCCAAAAGAGTTCGGTCTTAAGATTTCCCCAAGTAGAGTTTCTAGCTTAACAACAGCAGCTAAGCTAATGTTTATGGAGCCATTAATATTTGTGTGTGAGGCCCTGCACTATGTGCTTTATAGGGATTATTTAATAATACAGTTGACCCTTGAACAACATTGGTTTGAACTATGCAGGTTCACTTATATGTGGATTGTTTTTTCAGTAAATATATTGGAAAATTTTTTGGAGATTTGGAACAACTTACAAATCACATAACGTAGAAATATTGAAAAAGTTAAGAAAAAGGTATGTCTTTAATGCATAAAATATGACTAGTAGATACTAGTCTTTTATCGTTTGCTACCATAGAATATACACAAATCTATTATAAAAAGTTAAAATTTATCAAAACTTATATGTATACTTAACAGACCATACATGGTGCCATTTGTAGTTAAGAGACATGTAAACGAATGTAAAGATTTAGTATTAAGTCATAACTGCATAAAACTAACTATAGTACCTAGTGTACCATTGTAATAATTTCGTAGCCACCTCCTGTTGCTATGCAGTGAGCTCAAGTGTTGTGAGTACCCGCTTAAAACACTGTGTGGTGCTAATCATCTCTGAGCAGTTTCTCTCTCCAGTAAATTGCGTTATTGCCATAAAAAGTGATGTCTCATGGTTCTTATGTATTTTTCGTGCTTATTGCAATATCATAAGCCTTAAATGACAGCCTGGGACCCATATGAATTGCCTCTAGTGCTGCCAGAAGTGCTCCCAAGTGGAGCAGAGTCATGACATTACAAGAAAAAATTGCTTAATGTGTACCATAGATTGAGGTCTGTGGCTCAGGTACCCGCCATTTCAAGATAAATGAATCCAGCCTAAGGACTGTTTAAAAAAATTTTTTTAAAATGTTTATTCATTTCTGAGAGAGAGAGAGAAAGAGAAAGGGAGGGGCAGACAGAGAGGGAGACACAGAATCTGAAGCAGGCTCCAGACTCTGAGCTGTCAGCACAGGGCCCGATGTGGGGCTCGAACCCACAAACTATGAGATCATGACTGAGCCGAAGTCAAATGCTTAACTGACTGAGCCACCCAGGCATCCCTAAGGATCGTTGTTTAAAAAAAAAGGTGCGGCGGGGTGGGGGGGGGGTAATTCATGAAGCCATTGCTACAGCTATATGAGCAGATGTGAAAAATTTGTACTTTTTGTGAAATATTTTTTGATCTTGTATTGAAAATGCAGCTGTTTTTATGGGTGCAGGATTACCATAAGGAAGAAATATGTATAGACTCTAATATTTGAGAAAATGCCAAGTCATTTTGTGATCTAGGAAAGTGAAGGATCTGAAGCTGGAGAATTTATTGCCAGCAAAGGATGGTTTGATAATTTTAGAGATGTTTGGCTTAAAAAAATGTCAAGATAACAGGAGAAGTGGTTTCTGCTGACCAAGAGGCAGAAAGTAGATGAGTTCCCAGACGCCTTTAAGAAAATCACTGAGGGACACCTGGGTGGCTCAGTCAGTTAAGCATCTGACTCTTGACTTCGGCTCAGGTCATGATATCATTGTTCGTGAGTTTGAGCCCCGCATGGGGCTCTGTGCTGACAGCGTGGATCCTCCCTTTCCCTCTGCCCCTTCCCCATTTGCTCTCTAGTTCTCTCTCAAAAAATAAATAAAGTTAAACTCAAAAAAAAAAAAAAATCATGGAGAAGGGATATCTGTCTAAACAGTTTTTTTTTTTTTTTAACTTTTTAATGTTTATCTTTGAGAGAGAGCGAGCGAGCATGAGCAAGGGAGAGGCAGAGATAGAGGGAGACACAGAATCCAAAGTAGGCTCCAGGCACTGAACTGTCAATACAGAGCCCAATGCGGGGCTTGAACTCACAAACCACGAGATCATGACCTGAGCTGAAGTTGGATGCTTAACTGACTGAACCACCCAGGCGACCCCTGAACAGGTTTTTAATGCAGACAAAAGTTACCCTATTCTGGAAAATAAAGCCACAAAAGACCTTAAGGAAGAGGCGCAAGTACCAGGATTCAAGGCAGGAAGTGATAGGCTAACTCTACTGTTTTGTGCAAATGCAGTTAGGTTTATGATCTAGAGTGCCCTTATCTATAAAGCTGCTAGCACTTGAGCCTCGAAGGGAA